TAATACATTGTTGCTACTATTATTCTGAACAAACTGTTGTCTGTTCAATTATTTAAAAATAAGAAATAAAACTATTTTTATATCTTCATTTCTTCCTTCTTCAATGCTTTCTTTCTTTCTGTAGATTCAGGTTTCTGACTATCATTTTTCTTCTTCCTGAAGAACTTCTTTTAACACCCTTTGCAAGTCAGATCTACTAGGGTAAAATTCCCTCAATTTTTGTTTGTCCAAGAAAGTTTTTATTTCTCCACTTTTGAAGGATAATTTTGATGGATACAGAATTCAAGGTTTGTGGTATTTCACATCACACTCCTCTTGCATGCATGGTTTCTGAAGAGAAGTCTAAAGTAATTCTTATCCTTGTTCCTCTATGGAGGTGGTTTTCTTCTGGCCTCATTGAATATGTTTTTGTTTTGTTTTTTTCTGCAGCCTAACTATGATATATGCCTAAGTGGAGTTTATTTGTTTTGTTTTTCTGCTTAGTGTTCTTTGACCTTCCTGGATCTGTGGTTTGGTGTTTATCTTTAATCTGGAAAGTTTTCAGTCATTATTACTTCAAATATTTCTTTTGTTTCTTTTTCTCTCTCTTCTCCTTCTGGTATTGCCAATACGTGTGCATTACACCTTTGTAATTGTCCCACAATTCTTTGGGTGTTCTCATCTGTCTTTTTTATTCTTTTTTTTCTCTTTGCATTTTAGTTTTGGAAATTTCTGTTGACATTCTTTAAATTCACTCAGTGTTTCCTCAGCAGTATCCAGTCTGCTGATGAGCCTATCAAAGACCTTCATTTCTGTTTAAATGTTTTTGATTTCTAGCATTTCCTTTTTAATTCATTTTTTAGAGTTTCCGTCTTTGTTCTTATATTCTCCATGTATTCTTGTGTATTCTCTACTTATTCCTTTTGAACCCTTGGTATATTAATCATAGTTATTTCAAATTCTAAACCTGATAATTCTAATATTTCTGACATATCTGAATCTGGTTCTGTTGCTTGTTCTGTCTCTTTAAACTGTATTTCTATCTTTTAACGTGATTTCAAAGTCTTTGTTGAAACTTGGACATGATGTACTAGGTAAAAGAAATGGAGATAAATAGGGCTTTGGTGTGAGGTTCTATGTTTATCTGCCTAGGGCCAGCCTTGGGCAAACTACGGCCCGCAGGCCGGATCCGGCCTGTTTGAAATGAATAAAACTAAAAAAAAAAAAAGACCGTACCCTTTTATGTAATGATGTTTACTTTGAATTTATATTAGTTCACACAAACACTCCATCCATGCTTTTGTTCCGGCCCTCCGGTCCAGTTTAAGAACCCATTGTGGCCCTCGAGTCAAAAAGTTTGCCCACCCCTGGATTAGGCTGTGTTTACTTTTTGCAGTAGCTGTGGTTTGGGAAGTTAAACTTTACCTTTTCTGTTTCCTCTATTGCAGCGGTTCTCAACCTGTGGGTCGCGCCCCCTTTGGAGGTCGAACGACCCTTTCACAGGGGTCGCCTAAGACCATTGGAAAACACATATATAATTACATATTGTTTTTGTGATTAATCACTATGCTTTAATTATGTTCAATTTGTAACAATGAAATTGGGGGTCACCACAACATGAGGAACTGTATTAAAGGGTCGCGGCATTAGGAAGGTTGAGAACCACTGCTCTATTGTCTTTGGGTTTCTCTAGGGACTTATGTTTAAATATAGTCTGAGACATGCAGTTCTTTCAGTTGTATTTCCCTGTTGTGTTATAAGAGCTCTATTGATGTAGTGACTTGTGGGAGAGGAGATGCTTTCTAGTCCTATCATTAGGTCTCAGTCTGTTAGTGAGCCTGTGTCCCTTGGCTGTGACTTTTAACAAATACTTTTCAGTTCCTCTCCCTGTGTTGATGAGACAAGAAGGCTAAAAGGGGCTCTGGTTGGCTATTTCCCCACCCTCTGGTAAAAGAGTTTCTTTTGCCCTAGCCGGTTTGGCTCAGTGGATAGAGCGTTGGCCTGAGAACTGAATGGTCCCAGGTTCGATTCTAGTCAAGGGCACATGCCCCGGTTGTGAGCTCGATCCCCAGTGGGGGACTTGCAGGAGGCAGCCAGTCCATGATTCTCTCTCATCATGAATGTTTCTATCTCTTTCTCCCTCTTCCTTCCTCTCTGAAATCAATAAAAATATATACTTTTTAAAAAAAGAGTTTCTTTTTAGGGCAGGCCTTATTAAGAATAACAATGTTCTGGTGTATTTCGTAATGGATAATTTTTCCTTCCCTGGCAGGAATATGGGGGAATTTTCTTGATCTTCACTGTGAGAGCCTGGTAGGGCCCCTAAACCAAAACTCCTAAAAGTGTGGGGATTCCTCCTTAAACTAGGTCTCCCTGGAGTTTTTAACTGTCAGATTTGTGCACACTGGAGAATCGTATAACTGCCTACATGTCTTTTCAGTTTAGGGGGCTGTGATTTTTCTCTATGACCTCAGTTCTTTGCTGGACCTAGGAAGAGTTAGTGATTTTCAGTCGGTTCTACTTTTCACTTCTTGGGATGGCGTAATACTTTCAAGGCTCCTTACATGTTAAACCAGAAATCAGAGGACTCAATTATTTCCTTTTTTTAAATGCATTTCTCCCTTATTTCCATGATTTACCTTCCTTTCAGTTCTCTAACAGCTCTAATTTTTCAGTCTTCCTTCCCTCCCTTCATTTGGAAGTCCAGGGATTTGCTCTTAATCCTCTTCTCACCCACATCACCCTTCCCTGATGACCCTATCTCTTGTCTGCAGCTTTAACTCACACCTGAACGATGAGGTCTCCTCAGTCTTAGTGTCCTGAGTATTTGACATCCCATGAACACCTCAATATCAGTGTCTCCAAACTGAATTTATTTTTGTAAACCCTCCATTCTTGTCTCACAATTGCCCACACCCTCCTTTCTTCTCCCACTGACATGATACCCATCTTGCTTCTTTGTCTTCACTGCTCAGATTAAATGACTCTGCAACTCTGTCCACCCTTTTGCTCAAGCCAAAAACCTGCTTCTAGACTGTTCTTTCTTACCCTTTAAATCCAGTCATTCACACCGTCCTGATAATTTTTCACTTAAAAGAAAAACAAATTCAAATCTGCCTCCTTATCCTTGATCCCACTGCTATTGCTCTCATTCAGGCTCTTAATAGTTTACTCTGTTCTCCGTGCCTCTTCCAGTATTCCCCACAGTACTGTCAACCTCTCAGTGTTGGCATCAGATTGCTTCTCTCTTGCCTACAGAAGCAGTCTTTCATATCTCACGACCTGTAAGCAATCCATTAAGGATATGTACATAAAATATAAGAAATTGTTTAGATTTATTTTTCTGTATCTTATCTTATAAAAATGTCTTTTTTTGTTTGTTTTGGAATGAAGTAGAACAATAGCACATGCATATAATTTATAAATATATTTCTATTTAGGTTGAATACTCTTGAATACTCAAACAATATTTTATTGATAGGGTTACATAATCAAAAAGTTAAGAGACCATGGGCCTACAATATAAAATTCTAATTCCTCAGGTTGGTGTCTCAGGACTTAAGTTGTCTGGACCTCACCACTTGTGTCCAGTCTCCTCTCCTCTCGTTTCCCATTTGTTCCCTGCATTATGAACGCACATATTTATCTACCTGGTTACTATAAGTTACCTTTCATGCCTTCATATGGCTGTCACATTGTTGCTTCTCCTTGGAATTTCCTTCTTCTCTCTTATCTCATCCTTCATTCCCACCCTGCCCTGCAAAATCCTGCTTCTTAATTTTAACCCCTTCTGGAACAGGTAAAATCATCATGCTCTCTTTTGCTGCCCTGCTGTTTAGTACTTGTTCACTCATTCCTTTAACAGTGTCTATTGAGCAACTTCCCCTAACCCCTGTCTAGGCTCTGGAGACAGTATAGTCATTTCACTTCTCTGCCTCCTTCGCTGTGAGCTTCTTGGAGACAGACTCTCTTCCCATTCCTTACCTCCAACATCCCCTTGGTTTGTCGACCACCTGCATGAGTGAATCAGTGGGTGAGTAAGGACACTGGACCACTAGCATCTCTTTCAACATTGAGATTCTATTTTTATTTAAAAATTGGTCAGAAACTAAGTTGTAAATTTGTGGATCTCTATAGCCCAAATCTTATTTGTGGTGCAGTTTATGCTCACTCACTAAATCAAATCACCCATTTAGTAATAAGTCTAGGTTTGTATATTTTTATTTGTATGTATGTATGTTGTTAATCCTAGAAAGTGGAATAAAATAAGTACTTGACTATTATTCTAGAGCTATGCTTTCTGGCTGTGGTTATAAAGTTTGGCCTGACTTAATGACTCTAAAGTGAATATTTATTCCCGTGTTCTGGATGTCCTTTGGTTTATATTGCAATAGTGCATTAAAAAGTTGGTTTTAGATGAGGAATAATTAGCCTTGCTAGTATGCTCTTCTTTATTTAAGAAATAAAACTACAAAACAGATAAATTAATTGTTTATATTATAGATATTTTTCCATTAACAAATATTTTAACAGGTGTGAATTTTAAGTTCACTTCATGTGTCTCAGAATTCGTATTTGTTTAATATTTACGAAAATGTGTTACAATTTTTATATTGTAACACATTTCATAAAGTGAGGTTTACTGTTATAGCTCGAACTGGTCAGATTTTGTATATAAGTATGTATATGTATAAAATAAAAATTGTGTGTGGTATGGTTGGTTGAGATAGACAGAATGCTTAACTGAATCAGTGAAAGACTAAACCTGAAAGGAGTGAAGATTAAGGAATGGTATGTCTACCATAATTACTAATATTATTTACTACTAGTAGTAATTAGACTGCTTATCTTCTGAAGAAAACTGAGTCTGAAATGCCCTCAAAAGTTAGAAACATACCTTTATGTTTTAATCCTTTTTAAATAGCTGGTATGATTCTAAATTTTAAATGAAAAGCTCTTTGAATTTACCTTATGAAACTGAATTAAACAAAATGCTTTTGAACTTTTTTTATTTCTCTTAGGTATAATATTGAGCCCAGTTTATATTGCCCATTTTTCTCCCTTGGAGCATGCATGGAAGGCCTTAACATTTTATTTAATAAACTGTTGGGAATTGCATTGTATGCAGAGCAGCCTGCAAAAGGAGAGGTGTGGTGTGAAGATGTCCGAAAACTGGTAAGCATCCCAGTTTGTGTAAAGTTGTATTACTTTACTATTTCTTGGGTTTAATAATTGAGTTAATAGCACTTTCATCTTTAAGTTAGTTTTGCCTATTGGAGCAGATCTCACCTTAGTCCTGTTTTACAAAAAAACCTGAATGACCACTTCTGACTTAGGACACTGTATGAAAGAAACATTGTTCTCTAAAATCAGTTGCTGCTGAAAATTAATGTAAGTATATAACAGCAGAGTTAGTTCTTTGAAAAAAATATATTTAGGAATCTGCTAGGAGGTTGAGTCTTCATATGTTTGACAAATTGTAATTAAAGGAAAATCTGTCATTACTTTTTTACATTCCTGCCATGCTAAGTGTCCTTTTAGGTTCATTTCTGAACCCACTGCATTGGTCACATTTCCTTTTCTTCCAACCCCTTCCAATTTTGTAGGAGCTTAATTTGCATGAGATATGAATTTATGTCCCATGTTTTGATTTGACTTCTTTGATAATAACTTTAAGCCTAGAATCCACTCATCTCCTTTAGAGCCTACTTTGTTTGAGGCGTGAGTATTTTTATTTTTCCCTGATAAGAGTTTCAAGATTTATTGACCCATATGTTTATCACGAAGACTTTGTGTTGTTATGGTGTTTTATGTGTTGTTTATTTGCCTATCACACAGTACTCTTGTCACTATATTTCAAGAAACGAAAGCTATCTAATTGTTCCTTGGCTTGTTCTGTGAACTTGGAATCGATGTAGTGGTGTAACTGAAAGGATAGAATGAATGGGAGCACCTTATATCACTGTACTTAATTATCTAAGCATTTCTCTGTTTGTATATAATGTACTTCAAAAAATGATGGAGATTGATAAAATACAGATGTACAGTGAAAAGAAAACTGGTAACAAGAATAAAAGGATAGAGTGTAAAGGGCAAAGAAGTGTCTGCAGGATGTGAGCCCCCTGGGCAGGACTATTTGTGTTTTGTTCACTGCTGTATGCCAAATACTGTGAACAGTTCCTAGCATCCAGAAGGTGTTAATAGATGTTTGTTGAATTAATAATATATGCTTTATAGGAAGTTTTAAAGCATAAAACTTAGGTTCTCTTTGGCAGAATCCTCAAGGTGTAAAAAGACAAAGAAGGCAGGATGGAGACTAGTGGTTGAGCCTTCTTAGGTTCAGTTTTGGGTAAAGTCATAAATAATGATTTTATTGATTGTCAACTGAAACCAGAGGCTACCTTTTGTTATTTCTATGTCCAAGGGTTATAATTTGTATGAACATATATCATTACATTCTACAGTTTGAAGGAAAAATAATTTTGCTGCTAAAACTTTTGAGACAACACTTATTTCCAACTCCTTTTGGTGATTTGTGAACAATCTGAGGAGCTGTATTTGGTAGAGGTATCAGTTGAATGGCCCAAACAAGGAGGGTTTCTTCTCCTGGACAGAATTACCCAAATCAAAATCATCTGAAAGATGAAGAAAAAATAGAATCTATCTTGAAATAATATGGGATGTAGAAAGTAATAAAATATCTATATTTATAGCTGTGCATGATTTATATACAGGATGGTGCAAAAGTAAGTTTACGGTTGTTCGTATGGAAAATAACACAATAATTAATAAATAATAATACAAGAATAAGCTGTTTTGTGTACTCATAACTATAAACCTACTTCTGCCACAACCTGTATAGATTCTTGTGTTGGGGATGGTTTTCAACTTGTAGAGTTTCTGATTGACTCATTTACCACTAAATTAAATTGTTTTTTCTAGGCTGTGGTTCATGAATCTGAAGGATTATTGGGGTACATTTACTGTGATTTTTTTCAGCGAGCAGACAAGCCACATCAGGTAATGCTTTATTTATAATCTAGTCTCTCTAAAAATGATCAGCAGTTAATTTATATTAATGTGAACATATCTTTTTTGTAGTTCCCTAATATTTAAAGGGCATTAGTGATAATTACTAAATATATTAATTTGAGATTATCTGTGAATTTAAAAATAAACATTATGAAAACCATTAGATATGCCTGTATACTAGTCTGTCATTTTTATCTGTGTCATGGTAATAATGATAGTAATAATGATAGCTGATATTATATGAACCCTTCTATGTCACATCATGTTTTTGAATGTTCACCTCAACCTTTGAACTAGACACTAATATTATGAGGAAACTGAGGCCAGAGAGGTTAAGTTGGTTGCCCTGAGTCACACAGCTAGAAGTGCTAGGATTTGAACCCAAGCATTCTTACTATAGCCGCAACTCTTAACCACTTTTCAGACTTGTTAATGGACCTAGTTTAAAATTGCAGAAGATACAGAAGTCCCCCCTAATTTATGAAGGATACTTTCCAAGACCCCAGTGGATGCCTGAAACCAAATATAGTACCAAACTCTATACATACTGTGTTTTGTACATACATACCTATGATAAAGTTTAATTCATTGTAACGACTAATAATAAAATAGAACAGTTATAATAATATACTGTAATAAAACTTAAGTGAATGTAGTCTCTCTTACTCTGATAACTGATCTGATACTGAGATGACTACTAAGTGACTAATGGGTGGGTAGTGTATACAGCATGGATATGCCAGACAAGGGATGGCTCACATTCTGGGAGGGATGCAGCAGGATAGTAAACAATTTCATCATGTTACTCAGAACAGCATGAAGTTTAAAACTTATGAATGGTTTATTTCTGGAATTTTTCATTTACTATATTTGGACCATGGTTATCAGCCAATAACAGAAATGGAAAGTGAAACTGCAGGTAACGGAGAACTGATGTATCTTTATATTGGAAACCTTATCCATCACCAATTCACTTCTTTTGTGAAATATGTGAGGTTCATTCCTTTCCTTAACTGTATACTGGTATAGCAATCATTTTCAACAGTTTTAGGCAATTTGATGGGAAATGTTAAGTGTTCAGGTTATCAGCCCTGGCTGGTTTGGCTCAGCGGATGGAGCGTCGGCCTGCGGACTGAAGGGTCCCGGGTTCGATTCCGGTCAAGGGCATGTGCTGGGGTTGCAGGCGCATCCCCAGTGGGGGGTGTGCAGGAGGCAGCTGAATCGATGTTTCTCTCTCATCGATGTTTCTGGCTCTCTATTCCTCTCCCTCTCTCTTCCTCTCTGTAAAAAATCAATAAAATATATATATTTTTAAAAAAGAGTTCAGGTTATCTATAATAATAAAATTGTAATATGCTAATTAGACCGGAGAGCCAAACGACCTTCTGGACGTCCTTCCGGATGTCCTTCTGAACGAAGCCAGGGCTGCGAGGGCTGAGGCAAGCCACCACAGCTGTGAGGGCCGAGCTCCTTGCACGAATTTCATGCATTCGGCCTCTAGTAAGTTATAATAGAAATAATGGTAGCTTATATTTAAATAGTGATTCATAATTTCAAAGCATTTTAATAGATGTGAGCTTATGAAATCTAGGCAACTACTCTGGGATTTGACAAGGCAGAGATGAAGCTCGTAAAGGCAAACCAGTTTCCAAGGTGATTTGGCTGGTAGGTGAGGAAGGTGGGACCATAAACTAGGTCAGTGGTCTGCAAACCGCGGCTCGCGAGCCACATGCGGCTCTTTGGCCCCTTGAGTGTGGCTCTTCCACAAAATACCACGTGCGGGCGCGCACGTACAGTGCGATTGAAACTTCGTGGCCCATGCGCAGAAGTCGGTTATCGGCCTGGGTGAGTCTATTTTGAAGAAGTGGCGTTAGAAGTGGGGGGTGTCGGTCAGTCAGGCACGGGAGACGCAGCGCAGGGGAGGCGCTCGCGATTCATGCACAAGTTGAGCGAGCCAGTCAGTCAGCAGTCTCATTGTGCAGTGGTTAGTGCTAGTTGCGTAGCAAATCGCTCGCGGGTGACAAAAGTACCTACTCGAAGCATAAAGTTACCTGTATTTTTTAAGTATGATCAAGTTTTATTCAACGTACCTATAGTTTAACTAAGACTTAAAACTTTAAGTAAAGTTTATTAAGTTAATTTTAGGGAACATTGTGGAGTGAAAGAAGATGTAGTGTCGAGGATTGAGAAAGGTATGTTGAGATGGTTTGGACATATAGAGAGGATGAACGAAACAAGTATACAAGACGAGTGTGGATGGGAGAGTTGGAAGGGGTCGACCACAGTGGACGTACCTCAATCAGATTGAGGACGTTTTTAGCAAAGGCCAGCTTAGGAGTACCCTAATTAAGTTAATAACAATGTACCTACCTATATAGTTTAAGTTTAAAAAATTTGGCTCTCAAAAGAAATTCAATCGTTGTACTGTTGATATTTGGCTCTGTTAACTAATGAGTTTGCCGACCACTGATCTAGGTCATCAGACACTGATTCCTGTGTTCTTCCTCTTTGCTTGAATGGCTGGTAGAGAGTCTAGGTTAGTGATTAAGAACTCTGGCTGCTAGTAGTACAACTGGGTTCAGATCTGAGGTGCAGCAAACCATGACAACATTTCCAAGACTCAGTTTCAGTTTTCTGATCTGAAAGGTGAGATTCTTGCCTCATAGGGTTATTGTGAAGAATAGTGATAAAATGTTAGTGAATCTCAGCTTGTTATAGAAAATTTGCTTCAGATCCCTTGCTTTTTGCAATTTTAGAGCTTATCAATTTCAAGTGATAACGACAATTGGTATGGACAGTATCTCCTAGTTCATTGAAGGGGCTCAATAAATAATAGTGTCCCTTCCCTTAGTAGCTTCATGTCTGTCACTTCCTATTTGCTTTAATGCATGGATCTTAGCTCTGTAATGATAGCATTTCCAACATATGGTACAGCAGCTGAATACATATTTTTGGAGTGAATGAATAAATCAACATAAGCTCAGTATATTGGTGTTTTTAAAAATTTAAATTTTAACAAAAAGAGTTGAGAAAAATTTGTGTGCATAACTAAATAAATAGAATAATAATAGAGGTAAGTTAAAATTTGAACTCAGAACATATTTTGGTATAATTTTATGTTCATTAACATTAAGATTATTCTACCTTTTAGACTACCTAACACATTCTTCTAATTATGTTTTCTGATTCTTAAAGGATTGCCATTTTACAATCCGTGGAGGGAGATTAAAGGAAGATGGAGACTATCAACTTCCAGTTGTAGTTCTTATGTTGAATCTTCCCCATTCCTCAAGGAATTTACCAACTTTATTAACTCCTGGAATGATGGAAAATCTTTTTCATGAAATGGGACATGCAATGCATTCTATGCTGGGACGTACTCGTTACCAACATGTCACTGGTGAGTCACAAAGGGGACTTTTATTTAATACAATTCTTTAAAAACATTTTATTATAAATAGGAAGAAAAAAAGCTTTTTATTTAGAAAAACATCATTTAATATTGCCCTGTGGTCATTTATCAGCATATTGCCTCGTCTCCTTTCAATTGTACAACCAATCCTCTTATATTTTTTTGCTTCCTTGCTAACATTTCGCACCAAGGAATAAGTCCCAGTTGTCCATCTTTTGAGTTTGTACTATTTTATATTTTGAGCTGTTCTTTATGAAATTTAAATTTGTAGCTCTATGTGCATAAGAATAAATATATATCTCCTTAGAACCTAGCACAGAGTAAGTGAATGAATGTTGCCTCTTTGTATCCAAAATCGGTTAGAAAACATAGCAGGACATGTTGAAAAAGTATGATAAATTACTTTTTATTTTCCTTATACTTTCCCCATGTCTAAAATTATAGTTTCTCATGATGATCTGTGGCCATATTTGATGATACTGTAGACTTTCCTCTTAGCTGTCTCATCTCTAAATCTTATGCTTAGACCACCTGGTAAATTGTTCATATTCAGTTTTTATTAACTAACTTAATACACACAATATTTTGGGGGAGGAGAAGATAGAGTGGAACCTTGGTTCTCAAACTTAATTCCTTCTGGAGACTGTTCAAGTAGCAATTTGTTCGAAAACTAAATCGTTTTTTCCCATTAGAATAATGTAAATTGAATTCATCTGTTCCAGACCCACAAATGATTTCTGTTTTAACCTTTCTGTTATACAGTACATGTCTAATGTACTGTTTAACCCAGGGGTGGGCAAACTTTTTGACTCAAGGGCCACAATGGGTTCTTAAAGTGGACCGGAGGGCCGGAACAAAAGCATGGATGGAGTGTTTGTGTGAACTAATGTAAATTCAAAGTAAACATCATTACATAAAAGGGTATGGTCTTTTTTTTTTTTAGTTTTATTCATTTCAAACTGGCCGGATCCGGCCACAGGCCTTAGTTTGCCCAAGGCTGGTTTAACCTATAAGTAAACACTTCTTTTTTTAAATTTATCGTACCATCCCCCTACTAGCCTTAAGAGAATCACTTTCAGCATTGTTCCAGGGGTGTGTCAGCATACAACATCTTTGCTTGTTCGTATATCACTGCCTCCGAAATGCTGTCACTGGCTAACTGCTTTTCCTTTATCCAAATGAACAGTAGTTTTTCTACCTTTTTTAATTGCCTGTATCATTGCTTCTTTCACACATCAAGCGCTCTTTATGGCTTCTTTATGTTTTAGAATTGTGCTAATCCTCCATTTCTCCAGCAACAAAAGCATAAAAACAAAAACAAAAAAACTCACAAACAAAATATTCACAGCATAATTTCCTGAGATGGTAACAAGATAGGTTTAGAGGTAAACTGACTTGCATTCTTTCCTTTGTTTGTGGTGTGAGAGACACCTTTTGTCCTGCTGATGTATCTGCATGAAAGGGTTGTCAGGTTAAAAACCAAAGTTTGGTTTGACAACCTAGACATTTTTTCTTTGACTAACTTGGTGGAGAACCATATTGTTCCAGATGGGAGACTGACATTCCTTCGAGAAACCAGGTTTGACTGTATTTGAAAAGATTGTAGATGGGCCGAATCATAAAATGTCACCAAAAATTATTATAGGATTTGCTATTTTAAGTAATTTTGAGTTTAAAATATTGGTTTTTTTCCTTTGAGGATTGACTTTGTTACAAGAAACAATCAATGGATAAAATGCTATTTTAAAAGAAATGAAGGATGAAAATATTTGGTGGTGGAATTCAGTGAATTAAATACAAATGCTATTTTAAATGTCAGAATGTTTTAATGTGCGTTTCACGTATATTCCAGCATAGCTGAACCCAGGCTTATTTGTAGAGGGTTTGAGTCACTGCTTTATAAGGTGTTTTATCCAGCTGTGCAAATATTTTGTTTTATTTTATGTTTGATATACAGGAAAATATACAGGATTATTATAAACTTTTCTGCAAATATGTGCAATAATTTTATAGAAATAAAACATTGAAGTAATCAAAGCTTGTCATAGTTCATCAGAAGTATAAATGAAAATTTTAAAAGAATATACGAAAAGAAAGATAAATATGTTGATTTGATTCTTGCCAACTTTATTTTTTCCCCATTTTAGGGACCAGGTGCCCCACTGATTTTGCTGAGGTTCCTTCTATTCTGATGGAGTACTTTGCAAATGACTATCGAGTGGTTAACCAGTTTGCCAGACATTATCAAACAGGGCAGGTAGGGAAACTAATTTGTAATTCAGTCCTTTGAGTTGTGATTGCATTTATGACCTCCTGGATAATGTTTAATTCAATGCTTTTTCAGAGCTCTGTCACCCCTCTCAGTTCCAGAATCCTTCTACCATTTTGTTGTTGTTCTAATTAGTTTTTTCTTTTTGGGAGGTTGGGGGCTAGCCTGCAGAACCAAAATCACAGCATATAATGTATTGACAAATAGCTGCCCTTGATTATATGCCAGGTAATATACCATTTAGTCCTCGTCGCCATTTTCTGAGGAAAGCACTTTATCCTTGTTTTCCAGAGGTGGAAACTAGCTCTTTAGTAGAAGAGGCCTTCAAGCATGTCTCACTTCAAAAAAGACTTTCCTCTTTCTTCTTTCCTTCATGCTTTTGAATATTTGTTTTCTTGGTCTGAATTTTTATGATGTTTCATAAAGTGGAACTATATTGCCATATTTTCCCAGTATGCTTAGCATCTGTCTATATAGTGATAAGTCTGCAAATTATTTAATATTGACTTTTAGATTTAAATAGTGCATTGTAATCTTAAATATTTTAAAATTCTGTAAAGTAGGATTAAAATGAGAAATACCTTACAGTAAGTTAGCTGTAAGTATAACTATCAAAATTGTGCAGTTTACTGTCCACACATACTTTGGAAAATATACTCTTTCTCTCCTCTTAGTGTTACAGAGAACCGGAATAAATCAAGCAATGCTCGGAGAGTTTGGAGTCACACTTTATTATTACGCGTGGGCCCAGAGAAAAATGCCTTTCAAATTCTGGGCAAAGCTACAAGCAGAACTTCCCTTTTTATTAAAGAGCCATTCCTATGTGTGCTTAGTGGTTATCTCGCTGGTGGCCTTGAAAACAACACAGTTCTATCCAATTAAAAAATACACTTGGCATGGCATTAAGAGTATGGGCGTATCTAGTCTCTGGCCTACAAGGTCAGAAAGCTATGTTTATCTTCCTCATTATTCAAGCAGGCTAAAGCAGGCTAGAAAGCAAAGTTATTATTTTTTTAGAATAAGAGGCCGTCTAAAAAATAGCAGAGAATTCTAAACAGTAGTTTTGCAAAAGGGGTTAGCCTTCTCATTAGGACTTTGATTATAAAATACTATATTAGTGAAAGGTTAACATGGTGGTACGTGGGTAGGCTAAATAGCCATCTCACGTAAAGAAAAGTTGAATTTATTTAAGGAAAGGGGATGGGATATTCAAAGGGAAGGACTACACAGCACCCAGCCAAGGGGATATTGGGTCCATGATGGCAGCCCCCAAGAGCTGGAGTTTCATCCTTATGTGCAGTCACTGGCAGGAAGCTCTCGTAGTCGGTGGGTCTTAGGGCTGGGTTGGTGGGCATGGAATGGGGATGTGGGATGTTCCAGTTATCTATAGAAACATATGCACAGGTGACCCAGAGCGCCTCATTTGGATATACCAATACAGACGTCAAAGGGTACTTACTATTAATTAATATGGCCGAGCTTAACCAAAAACTAAGGAGAGAGAGAGAGAGACACAGGAGATAAACAATGCAAGAAATCACACAGGTTTATTTACCAGAGAGCTGATGGGTTTCAGTCCTTGGCAGGCCACCCGGAGACACTCGCTGACAGAGACACACGGAGGTCGTCTAATACGCCGCAGCAAGGAGCTCGGTCTCTTGACTCGAAGAGAGGTCTCTAGCAGTTTGGGCTCAGAGGCAGAGCAGGAATGGCAGTTTGGCAGTTTCCAAGGGGGAGGAGAGCATCCTGTCTGTGGAGGGCAGACAAGCGTCTGAACCGCAGCAGATTTGCTCTCCTTAAATCCTTGAAGCTGGGCGTCTTCAGTGTCTCCTATCGAGTGCCTTACATGGGTGCCGCCCTGTTATCTAGGTATACACTCAGGCGGGAAAGTTGTGTACATGTTCAAAGCTTATCAATCATACACACATCTTATTTTTGGAGTTGTTTACAAGTTTTGGTCTAAGAATAAAATGGGGTCTGCTTATGCTAATTTATGCTAATACAAAATGGGGTCTACTTTATGCTAACTAAACTTATTACTATAACAGGCTTCTTCAGTGTCTCATATCCGTGTGCTCCGGTGGCCTTCTGGGCTTATCAGGATATACACGCAGGGTGTTACAAGGTACTTACCAGGAGTTAACATGCTGGGAGTTGTTGGTCAGGAGTTACAAGTTATTTGTCAGGAGTTAACTTGCAGGGCGTTACAAGTTACTTATCAGGGTCTCACACACACACACACACAAATTAAGTTCCTCTTCTAAGTAAAGTTTAAAATTCACTCTAATAAAGAAATGAAATTTGATTATACTATCTTATACTCACTAAACTTATTACTGTAACATGGGATCAGGTGTTTTTAGGACAATTTTAATTCCTTATATGGTCTGATTCCTGGTGTCCAGCAAGTCTTCCTGGTCCTTGTTCTCCTGGAGTGAGAAGCTTACAAATGGCCGCTAAGAATTGCCCAATAGTCCTAACAATTAGCTAATAATTTTCCCCTCTGACTGTACCTCCCTGAATTCAGGTGTAAAATTATATTCATTTTTGAATCTTCAGCATTTAGAATCATTCCTAGCACATAAAAAGTATTAAAAGAAATTAATGAAGGAATGAATGGAAACAGAAAGAGAAGGTTCTAATCAACTTTTTTTTAAATTGGTTTTTAACTATTATTGTCAACTATAGAACAGTGGATGAATTTCTGGATAAATAATCTGAGCTAGTCTTTATCATAATCTGTTTCAGTTATTGGATGACAAAATTGAAATAGTTGTGATCTAATTAGCTACCTATCTACTGACCTGCAAAGAATTACTCTGGAAATTATTTAGACTCAGCCAATAACACAAATGCATATAAACAATCAAATAATAGTATACTCCATCCATGGCTCCACATTTTGGGATTTGGGAATGATTAGAGCAGTAGAGCATGAGGCATATTAAAGCAGAGCTACACGCACAGTGGGTATTATAAGAGGCTTCATATAGGACAGTGATTCTCAACCTTCTGGCCCTTTAAATACAGTTCCTCATGTTGTGACCCAACCATAAAATTATTTTCGTTGCTACTTCATAGCAACTGGGATTATCCATACTGCTGCATGGGCTCTTCCTTCTGGTTGGAATAACCTTGTCCTTTGCTCTGCCCTAGTTCCCCTAAGATTTAATGTAATGTTGCTACTGTTATGAATCGTAATGTAAATATCTGATATGCAGGATGGTCTTAGGCGACCCCTGTGAAAGGGTCGTTCGACCGCCAAAGGGGTCGCGACCCACAGGTTGAGAACCGCTGATATAGGAAGTGCTAGAGGAACTAGGTCTTGAAAAGATATGTAAAGAAGACAGTTTGCCAGGCAGCTCTTAGCAGCCCTCATCCATCTCATAAAAAGTATTGAGGAAACACTAAGGACATATACACTGAGTGACCAGATTATTATGACCACCTGACGTTTATAGGCAAATTAGCCATACACTGCATCATATGGGATATGGAAGCCGAAGGCCTGTTCAAACACCTTTGCTGTCTGCAGTTACCAAGATAAAACGTCTCTAATTCGCACAGGAACACAAGTATTGGACAGTCGAGCATTGGAAAAAAGTCATGTGGTCTGATGAATCACGTTTCCAGTTGCATCATGCAGATGGCAGAGTGAAAATTTGGCGGAAACAGCATGAAATCATGCACCCCACATGCATGAGTACAACCCTTCAAGCTGGTGGGAGCAGTGTTATGGTTTGAGGCATGTTTTCCTGGCATGACTTGGGCCCTTTAATTCATGTGGAACAACGTCTGAATAGCACAACATTCCTAAGTATCATTGCTGATCAAGTTCATCCTATCATGTTGATGGCGTATCCCAATGGAGATGGCTTCTTCCAACAAGACAGTGCGCCATGCCACGGTGCTCATATTGTGCAGGAGTGGTTTCAAGAACATGAGGGAGACTTTACCTTGCTTAAGTGGCCCCCACAATCACCAGATCTCAATCTAATTGAGCATTTGTGGGACGAAGTTAAAAGAGCCATCAGGCAGCTGGTCCCACAACCATCAAATCTCACAGAACTGGACAGTGCTATTCATCAGGCATGGTGTCAGATTCCTCGCATCACCTTTCAACATCTCGTGGAGTCAATGCCAAGAAGAATCACTGCAGTATTGAAGGCAAAAGGTGGCCCAACGAAGTACTGATGGGGTGGTCATAATAATCTGGCCACTCACGTTCAAATATATCCCATGTTCAAAGGCTGTTAAATCATGTTTACCCATATCTTCAGGAAAAAATCACTTCTGTCGTGGTAAACAACCTGCTTCCCTATTTATAATGGTCTGGCCCTCTAGCAACTTCAGCGCAAAATTATAGCTAATTTGCTTACAAACGTCAGGTGGTCATAATAATCTGGCCACTCAGTGTATAGGTCCTTCAGTCAGAAGATATTTGTTGAGTTTTTATTACGTACCAGGCACTGTTCTCAGCATCCAAAAATAAGTGAGACAAAATTCCAGGGCTCTCTACAGCCTTAAATCTTAGGGGAACTAGGGCAGAGCAAAGGACAAGGTTATTCCAACCAGAAGGAAGAGCCCATGCCGCAGTATGGATAATCCCAGACATTGGCAAGATGCTGGGTATGGCAGGAGCAGAAGAAGGAGGAAGGGAGGGAGAGAAAGAAAGACCCTGGAATGTTCTTGTTTTTAGAATTTGTTCTAAGTCTCAGCATACCTCTTGCCCCCACTCACCTTTTATTTTTTTTTATTTTTTATTTTTAAATATATTTTATTGATTTTTTACAGAGAGGAAGGGAGAGGGATAGAGAGTTAGAAACATCGATCAGCTGCCTCCTGCACACCTCCTACTGGGGATGTGCCTGCAACCAAGGTACATGCCCTTGACCAGAATCGAACCTGGGACCCCTGAGTCCGCAGGCTGACGCTCTATCCACTGAGCCAAACCGGTTAGGGCCCCACTCACCTTTTAATCCCAGTTC